AATATGTAGCATAACATTGATTATTCTAAGAGTAAAGCATTGGTAAAGATTTTAGGAAAATATTTTGCTTTTACACAGGCTCATAAACACCCATCAAAATATTTTTCAGCTGAAACCGGTTTGGCTCTTAGTTACTAGCTCATAAAACATTTCTGTACTTTTCATCATGGGCTGTGGTTTTCAAAATTTGAATATACAATGAATTGATGACCAGTGGGAGATGTGCAGGAGGCAGCTGATCGATGTTTCTAACTCTCTATCTCTCTCCCTTCCTCTCTGTAAAAAATCAATAAAATATATTTAAAAAATATTTTTCAAAGTAATGCCTAAACTTTTCTTAGTTACTAGCTCATAAAACATTTCCATACTTTTCATCATGGAGTGTGTTTTTCAAAATTTAAATATACAATGAGCTGATGATAAGCCCCAAAATAAGGCCAAACCTTCACCAGAATTTCAGCTTCTAGTGGGGATGGTTGGCAAGGGGTGTGGGCAAATTAGCTGTGATCTCTGGGACCATGAGTAGATCTTCAAAGAACTTGCTTCTGTAATAAAACACCAAAGGGTGCTGCATGTGGCATGGCATTTCTAAGAGTAAAACTAAAGTGAACTTGATTGCAGGCTGGGGAGGAGCCTGCAACCAAGATACATGCCCTTTACTGGAATCAAAACAGGGACCTTTTGGTCTGCAGGCCGATACTCTATCCACTGAGCAAAACCAGCTAAGACAGGGGACTGAAGCTTTTCAGTCTGGGTCCAGTATTTACTAGCTGAACAACTTTGGAAAAATTGTTAAACTTATTAAAACTTTTTTTAAAAAAAATAATGAAAAGTGAATGTTTCTTAGAAATTCTATGAAGTGATAAAATTTGTTATTCCATGAAAATTTATGGCTGTAAGTGCCTACATTATTAAATATGAAAGATTAAAAATAAATGACTTCAGTTCTCTGTGAAGAAATTAGACAATGACACATGATTATGATATGACAAATGGTTATAAACCAAAGTTAAGTAAGAAGAATTAATTGTTAGAAACAAAATCTGAAATTAATGAAATTGGGGAAAATATTTCTTGGGGGCCTACTCATCTTTTTTCAGTCATATCCTCTATTTGTAGAATCTGACCCTGTTGGAGATATTTGAAGATAAAATTAGGGGTAACTTTAACTTATTGAGCATTGGAAAACTCAAACCCTTTGGATGGATCTAAGAGATGTTATTGTATTAATGGGCTGAATATTTTTTTCATGTGTTTATAATGTTTATCAGACAGGAATGGAGGCTAGGACTTTGTGCTGAAGTGACTACATTCATGTAGTATAACAGAATTAATATAAGCTTTTAGCTCAAATTACTTAAGGCCAGACATAAATAGGCCTTTCTAGATTAGTTGATTCAAATTCTGTTCTTTCTATTTGATGTTTTGAAAAAGTCTTCAGGGATAGATGGGGAAACTGTGTGGGCCTTATGCTTGATGACTTTCTGTGATATGTGCCTGTGTGCCTGTGTGTGTGTGTGTGTGTGTGTGTGTGTGTGTGTGTCTTTAGGCTTTAGCAAATGTGCCTTCAAGACTCAACAAGCATATGCAGCATTGAAACAATGATTTAGTTGACGTATTTATTGCAAAGAAGGAATAGAAGCCCCCCTATTATAAATTTGATACATAGAGCTGAGGATGAAAAACAACCCAATGAAATCATTAAATACTCAAGGTAAGTAGTCAAAAAAGGCCTGTGCCTATAGTGCTATCTCTGGGAATCATACTTCTTCAAACTTAACGAATCTACAGAGTTTTGAAAAACATGCTTTAATTTTATTTCAGAGTAGAAGCAGTGAATGATAGAAAGTAAAACAAATAAAACCAATTGATTAACTTAGTGAAAGAAGATAATTCCTTAAAAATGGAAATATTAGAAGCCAAACTAATGCTCTATGAAAGGAAAAATGAATCTTTTCGTTCAGGACAGGCAGACATTGAAAGGAAAGAAGGAAGGAAAAAGTTAGTTCAGACTTGAAAAGGGCAGACAAAAGATTGACATGAACTATCAAAGCAATGTTAGATGGGATTCTATAACATGGTTACTATAAATGGAGGTTGAATAATTGCCTCTCCCTGAAAGAACACACTCATGAAAGTTACAGAATTAGGGCACTAAGGAAAGTCACAGCAAATCAGAAATATGGCAATTCTGGAGAGCTAAGCCATGCAGTTCTAGAGCTGATGTTGGAAGCCTCCAGAATAAGGTTATCCAAATGAGGGAGTAAAGAATGACATGATTTGTTTGAACAGAATTCATTGATTTCATAGACCTTATTATGGGAGACTACAGATTTCAAAGTTGGAAGGAATATTTTAAAAACAAACACCTGATCCCCCCTCCCAAAACAACAACAACAACAACAAACACACACACAAAAAAAAAAAACCCAAGGGAAAGTAAAGAAAGGGCCCTGAGTTTCAGCAAACAATTTTGAGTTGTAGCTATGTTCGAGGATAAATGGAACCAAATGAAGAAGCATATTAAGCTGATAAAATTGAATTAGGACCTCTCTGAAAGGTACAGGAGAATAGACTGTCCTCTTGCCAAATGGGATATAGCAGAACAAATGCTACTGCAGGCACATGACATCAATAGCTGAGGTAAGCAATTGAAGTAAGTGTCTTTGGGAGTTCGTGCCAGATGTATTACTCTTCAGGAGGTGACTGGAATACAGATTTTGGGAGCAACTGCAGCTTTGGTTCAAGAATCTGTGAAGAGTGATTCTCTAGGGGAAACAAATGAAGAGGTGATGGTAAGGTCCCCTAAAGAGCCAGTTTTATAGACCTAACAATTACAAATTAAATGACAGTGTCAGTAGGTACTGTAGCAACCAAGCAAAAATCCTTGCTCACTGGGGAAGGAAAAAGCCATCTGTATTAGTCAGGATGAGCTAGATTATGCAGTGCTAACGTATTAACTCCTGCATCTCAGTGCCTAAAAATAAAACAATTGTATTAACAATACTAGTATACCATGGAACCCAGCTGGTGCATCTCAGTGGTTGAGCATTGACCCATGAACCAGGAGGCCGTGGTTCAATTCCCAGTCAGGGCACATGCCCGGGTTGTAGACTTGATCCCCAGTAAGGGATCATGCAGGAGGCAGCTGATCTATGATTCTCTCTCAAAATTGATGTTTCTATCTCTCGCTCCCTTCCTCTCTGAAATCAATAAAAGACATACTTTAAAATAATAATAATATACCATGGAAAGGGCCTTGTTTTTGACACAGACATTCAAGGAGCCTAGCTGTTGCTGGAATTTTGGTGATATTGCACTGTGTCAGCCTGGGAAGGACTCACATCAGTTTTCATTGCCCGCATTTTCTTGGCCAGATCTAGTCACATGACTCCTCTTAACTACAAGGTAACTAGAAAGCGTTAGTGTCCATGCCTTAAGGAAGGAGAAGAAAGTTTTGGTGAACATTGGGAACATTTGGCACATCATATTGTTAGGATCATCCCATACCAATGCAGCACTGGTGAGCCAGAATCACAGAACTCAAGGGGGAATGACAATTAAGTAACTTTGAATATGGTAGGTGGGAAATAAAAGACACATGAATAAATAATCCTGGTGATGAAGTCTATCATCACTACATATCCTCAAAAGGCACTCTCTGAAAAAGGAGAAAAATCCCCTCCACTCCCAACAGCCATACAGGTAAACACATTCTGCCAAAATTAACTCCTGACCAATTTAATTTAAATTTACAGATGATGGACTCTACCCAACTATCATAGATGACAGACATCATGCATGGGAAGGTGAAAATCAAGTCCAGTCTCTGCTTTTCCCTCACCACCCAGTAATGAACTACTCCTCTGGCCTTTGTGAACATTCTGGATAGGGCTCCAAAAATGTAATTTTTCCCAGGATCAGGGCTTGATTCATTTTAAATAGTTTTATTGTTATGGTATTAGTGGCATGAACTCTTTGGGTTCTTTAACAAATGAGACATGTAAAAGATTTTCAGCTGTACTAACTCAGTTTGGAGTGGCTAAAATAACCATGAACTTTTTAGGAGTGCTCACCTCAGACTGCAGCTTCTGAAGAAATTAGGTCTATTGAGGCATAAAGAACTTTTTTGACTGAGATGGAATAGAATAAGGAAGTAGGTAAAATGTTACATTTTTGTAAGGAAGTAGGTAAAATGTTACATTTTTGTCAGTAATATGTCATAAGAGTAGTTGACTTCAGCCCAGCCAGCATGGCTCAATGGTTGAGCATCAGCCTATGAACCAAGAGGTCACAATTCAATTCTTGGTCAGGGAACCTGCCCAGGTTGCAAGTCAATGATTCTCTCTCATCATTGATGTTTCTCTCTCTCTCTCTCTCTCTCTCTCTCTCTCTCTCTCTCTCTCTCTCTCCCTCTCCCTTCCTCTTTGAAATCAATAAATATAAAAAAAGAGTAGTTGACTTCATATTACATCACATCAGGTGGAACATATATTGTCAAGTATTTTAATAATTAGTGATGCTAAATTTGGTCACTTGTTTAAGGAGGTGGCAACCAAACTTCTTCATTATAAAAGTATTTTGCTCCATTGCAATTATTAAAGTAATCTGTGTGGTGATATTTTGGCAGCATGCATATATCCTATCTCATCAATTTTTGCCTCCTTTTAGTATCCTCTATCATCTTTTCCTGACAATTACTTTATTTCATATTCAAATGGTACTTTAAGCATACTATCATAGTTTATTAGCTTTCATACTTTAGTTTTTTTTAAAGTTTTATCTTCAGCTGTTAATTAACTGTATTTCCTCATAAAAAGGCAGTGTTAATTATTTTTCTTCAAGACATATTCATGAGTGATGTTATGCGTACACAGGTCCTGTAGCCGTGGCAGCGGCTGAGACTGGCAGGCCAGGTACTGCTGCTGTGGATTGAGAGAGAAGCTATATGCCAACCTCAGCCTGGGCTGCTGCGCGCCACCACTGCGGGGTCAGAAGCTATGGCCAAGGACGTCCTGGGTGCTGGGTTGCACTTTGATGAGCTGAACAAGCTGCGGGTGTTGGACCCAGAGGTTACCCAGCAGACCATAGAGCTCAAGGAAGAGTGCAAGGACTTTGTGGACAAAATTGGCCAATTTCAGAAAATTGTTGCTGGTTTACTTGAGCTTGTTGACCAACTTGCAAAAGAAGCAGAAAATGAGAAGATGAAGGCCACTGGTGCTTGCAATTTGCTCAAATCTATCATAAAACAGAGAGAAGCCCAACAGAGGCAACTCCAAGCACTAATAGCAGAAAAGAAAATGCAGCTCGAAAGGTATCGGGTTGAATATGAAGCTTTGTGTAAAGTGGAAGCAGAACAAAATGAATTTATTGACCAATTTATTTTTCCGAAATGAGCTGAAATTTCATGATATAGCAGGAGGGCAGAAAAACAAAAAAAACCTCTGTACCATTCCAGTGACTTTGACTAATGACCCAAGTATATCATGTGAGATGGTGTGTGAAGGATGCATCATCTCTGAAGGTAATAAAACACATCTGGGGGGAGAAGAGGGCTTGTTTCAGATGTCAGTGCATATCTGGTAAACACCCCGTGACCACGGTGGCCTAGATTCTTACCTCTTGTATTTTCATTCTTAAATAAGCAGTCTGTAAACTTTGATTTTTTTTTGTAAATTCACAAAGCTTTGGAGGAAAAAGCAATAAATTATTGTTTTCAAATGGCTTTAAAAAAACCTATTCACATTTCTTTTAATTTTATTTTTTATTTTTAGAGAGAGAAAGGGAGGGAGAGAAAGAAACATCCATGTGAGAAGCATCAATGGACCGTCTCCTGCACGCCCCCTACCAGGGATCCAGCCCACAACCTGGGTATGTGCCCTGACCTGGAATCGAACTGGCAACCCTTCAGTGCACAGGACGACACCCTATAAACTGAGCCACACTGGCCAGGGCTATTCGCATTTCTCTTAGAAAGTTAAAAAAAGATAAGCATCTTATAAAAATTACTCATAATCTAGGGATAATTTCTGTAAAACTTTTATTTATCTTTCCCAGATGTCCCACTATGTGTGTATGAGATGTGTGTGTGTGTGTAATTTCATATTTTCATGTGTACTTTGGTCCCAGTAGTTGATGTTTCATAGTTGCTGTATCTCCAGTAGAGTTTTCTCTGTTGACTTGTGCCTGCTAAAGAGAAGGCCTCCAAAGGTCAAGGACTAATTCAGCTAATAAGCTGTGAAATTGGTAGATTGACATTTCAAAGGGTGATGGCATTCAGTGATGCTCTAAAACTCACCATCTCTGTGAATTAATATGTGCGTGTGGGAAAATATAAATTTTCCCTTATGCTAAACCACATTGGAACTTACTGATTTTCCTCATTTGCCTCTTCCCTATCTCTTTACCTCTCAGAATCTTTTTTCTTTTCTTTAACAAATGAGGAATTAAACTGTTGCTTTATTTGATTTGGTTAATAGACTCATTTCTAAATGTAAAAAATAGATACTTTATCATTTAAAGTACTTTACAATGAACAAAAATGTATAATTTTTAAGTTATGTATAAGTAGTCCTATACAGAGTGATATTTATCACCCTTCCTCAAAGCATAACCAGCATTTTAAATTCACTATCAGCTAAATTAGATTTTCCATATTTGTGTGGTCTTCATGTGTTGGTCTTTGTGCTCTGACTATAGTCTTAATCTTCCTTTTTTGGGGGATTCTTGCTATAAGGCAACTGCTCTATAAACTGTTCGAACAGTTTATGCAGTAGCTCCTTGTCTAATAGAGAAAAAGTAAATGGTAGGTGTTAAAAGAAATGGTCTATTTGAAATATTAATTAACAAAGCAAATCTAGGAACTCTGTGTTTATGCCAGGGCAGACACATCGCATGTGACTGGAAGCTGATTAGCCGGAGGCATGTTAGAGACCAGCTCTTTCAAGACCAGCCCCCATTTGATAAATGAGGAAATTAAAACTCAACAAGATAAACTAAATACCTCTTGTTACTAACATTGCTAATAATAAAACAGAACTGTAATCTCATTTTCTTAATTCCCAGTTCAATAATATTTCCACCATACTACATTGGCAGCTCTAATTACAGTACCACAGGTCTGTCTTCTGTTCTGTTTGCACCATTGGAAAATTTGGGCTATAAAACCAGCCATAGCCATTCATTTAACAACAAACCATTGTCAGATGGATTTGTAATTCCACCAAAGAAGACAGAAGAGTGAGGGGGGAGAGAGTATGTGAAGTCCATTTAATAGGTGGCTGAAGAAGCAACCATTTGTACATTGTCTATGCATCTTTCCTGAGAAATCTCAGTAGCTAATGATTTGATGACAAAAAAAAAATGCAATGTTCTCAGTACCGGATGAAAATAACTAGAATGAAAAATGGGATGATAACGAAGTAGCCTTTTTAGAAAACATATTCACTAGGGGAGATTCTGCAGCATGTTATCTATGGGGACTGCCCTAAAACTAAATTTCAGCGTAGTACCTAGTACATTCTGAGTTAAGCCATGTAACCAGATTCTACTTAATTTATCAATGAGACAACATCAAGACAGATAATTCATAGATAATCTCTGTTCCCCAAAATGTAAATGCTATTTGCTTCAATTTTATTCAAATTTCTTCCAAAATGCTACCATTGAAATTAATTTTTTAAAGCCAAAAAATCCAAACTTTATTTCTGTTCATTTAACCACAACTTTTCTTGAAACAAGGGGATGTTATGATTATAAGGTTATACTGCAATAGTCATTACGGTTGGAGAGCAAGTATGAACTAACTAATGATCCATTGCAGACTGAATAAAATAAAAGATTCAATCCTGAGAATCATAAACGAGAAAGAAAAATGAAAGTTACCACTGAGGGGAAAAGGAAATGCGTTAAAGTGTGTTCCATATGGTGCTTAGACACCTGGAATACAAGATACTAACTCTGGTTGAACATCTGGATCCTGGACCTGTTCTGTGATAAACATCTGTACACTTCCCATTTGTGCAGCTGTTTCGGCATGTTCTGACAAGGAACTAAGTGTCTTCTCAAAGTATTACATTACAGATTCTTTTTTTTCCTTCTAATTTTACCACGGAATGGAGCGATGATTGCTGCACACCCAAAATGCTCTATTTGGCTGTCCTGCCATGTTCCTCAGTTGTGATATGAGTGTTTTCAAGACGTGATGACCATGTGCTATAAATGCAGTCTCCACCCAGGGGCCAATCTGTGGGGGTTGTCTTTGTGCCTTAATTCAGGAGGAAAGGGAACACATCCCAGTTTCCCCACTGGATGTATGGCTAAAATGAAGCTCAAGTGACAGTAAGCAACCTCTGATGTGATCTTTAGCCAGCCTCAATTAGCACTCATTTTGTCTGGGAGGAAGAGGATGAGGAGAAGGAGAAAGGAGGAAGGTAGGGGAGGGGAGGAGAGGAAACAGATCCCATGAGAGTTTTTGTTCAACCTACAGAAGAATAATGAGTAAGATTGCATTGCCTAAAAGTCAGATTTTCAGAAAAGAAGGTTGGTTCAAGCAAAGACCTTAGAATCAGGGAATCTCAAGGTCCATTTGATCCAGCAGTGACTCACAACAATCAAGTGCAGGGTGTGTACTAAAGAGTAGGAACAGTGGGGCTCGTATTAGGCACAGATCATGCAGGAAACAGAGCCCACTCCAGTTCTTTAAGCAGCAAAGGATCTAATGTAGATAAATATGTGCTTACAAAATTATTGAGAGGGCTGACGTAGCAGGAATCTTGGGTAGTATACATAAAGTTCAACAACACACCACCTTGGGAAAACTGTGATCTGCCACACGACTGCCTTTGAACCCCCAGACTTTGTGAATAGACCTTACACGGTAGAGTCTGTTCTCTGTAATTTCCTCTGAGCATTCATTCCCAGACACCTCGATTGCCTGCACAACCAGCAGGCAGGATGACAACCTTTGCATTAATCTGCATTCCGAATCTGGCACATGTGCATCTCATCAGTAGAAACTGTTTTGCAGCCAGAAGAGTAGTTACAGTAAGTCTAGGAAATGTGTTGATAGCCAGTCAGCCTCCACATTAAAGGGAAGCATCCTGAAAGGCAGATGGAATAGGGGCTGACTGAGCCAGCGTATAGCATCTACCTCCGAGCTCTAAGTATTTAAAGTTATGTGGTTTAGGGCTTGAATGCCAAACAAAAGGTGATGAGTAATATCACCATTCATGTACAACTGAGCAGCTGACAACCCCACCAGGACACAGCTTAGAGGCTGTGATCCTTTGTCCTTTGGCTTATCATTGAATTTAGCCAATGAGGTAAAAGCAGGAGATTGGAGGGCAGGGAAATAGAAAAGTGGGGGTATTTATTTTCTTGGCTTCCTTCCTGCCCTGGCTCAGGCTGATACAGGCTGCCTTTCTTCAAGAGAGGGACATAGCTTCCATGGAGCAACCCTTCCTTAGAGCAGCAGGCCCCACCTTCCTCCAGTCCCCCTCCCTCTCCTTGCATCAGCAGTAGTAGTGATGTCCAGATGTTGTTAATCTGCCACCATCTATTACCCCTAATTTGATTTCCTTTGCCCTGCCCACACCTTTGTAAACAATCTTTTCTCTTCAGTAATCTGTTCTGAATGAGCCATCTCATTCCTGCCTGTGCTCTGACCTCTATAATGTGCCAAATTGTTTCCCATAGCATTGTATGCTGTTTAATTAAATGCTTATCTATATTATAAAAGGCCACCAAAGACCTGCGTGGGTGGGTGACGTGCACGCGGGTGGGCGGGGCCACCCAATTTCACACACTGGGCTTCTAGTATAACATAAGCATGTAACTGAGAGAAACAAAATGTAACCTCATTTCTGTAACAAGCTGGGGACAATCAAAGGTCCTGGGTGAGGCAGCACACTTCTTTCTTCCTTTTGTTCTCCCAGTGTCTTCATGCAGCTCTCTGGTGCCAGTCTCCACCCTCATCATTCACCGCACCACAGTGATCACCCCCCATGGCCCAGAGAGCCATGCTTCAATATTATAACAAGAGCAACGCTGTGATCACAACTCCTAAAGATTCACAAGACAAGACAATTCTAAGGGTTTTACAAGTATTAACCCAATTAATCCTTACAACAACCCTTGAGGTAAACACTGGTGCTGTTACCCATTTTTACAGATGAATACACTTGTGCCCAGGGCAGATAAGTAGGTTTTACAGTCACACCCTTAGAAATGGAGGAGTTGGGATTCCAACCCAGGTACTATGGCTCCAGGGTTTCTATTCTTTACCATTATGCTCTACTAACTCTTTTTTTTTTAATGTGTACAACAGGATGATTTAATGTACATATACATTGTGGAATAGTTACCACAGCCAAGTCAATTAATACATCCATCTTCTTACATAATTACCTTTCTTATGTGTGGTGAGAACACTTAATTTCAAGTATACGATACAGTACTACTAACCATAGTCAACCTGCTACACAGATCTCCAGAACTAATTCATCTTATAACTG